CCAACCCTGTGGATTTATATACACATATATGAGATTACAACTTAATGGACCTAAAAATAAACTACCAGCAGAAACAATTATTCATCTCCAAGTCTTACATATAATACATCCAAAATGAAGAGAATAGAAAATGTTGTTAAATGTACTTCCAAATGAGTATTTTCTGTGCTAGCTAATAAAATTTTTGATTTACCTCCTTCATCACCTTATACCTTAGTCCCAACTACCTAGCCTTATTTTTACCCAGTTATAACAAAGTTCTTAGAAATTATCACAAATTTTAAGAATTGAAGAAGAGGGCCTCCTTGTGGTACAGGAGTTAGTCTCAGTACCATCAAACTATCAGCAGTCACTGTAGCATGAGTTCAATCCCAGGCCAGAGAGCTGACCCACATGGCACAGCAGACCTCTGCTGTCTTGCCCACTGCTCTCTTCAGCAGTGATTTTCAGTAGATCTGCCTATTCTGCTCCCCATTCTTTCTCTGGTGAATCCTCTCACCCTCTGCACCTCTGGCCTACAGCTGACTTCTATGCATACATAAAAAATGAAATCTTAAAAAAAAAAAAAAAGAAGAATCTGAGAAAATAAAAGATATAAATAAGTAAAAACTAGCAAGTATTGCAGTTCATCATAAATGAACTCAATAAGAAAGACCTGTTTACCTCACCCTCAAAATACAGATTATTCTCTGGGCCCTCCCTGAGAGGGATATAACCTCCCTGAGATTAGGACGTAGCACTACAAGCCAGCCACAGCTGCTTCAGTGCAAGTTTGATCCCCAGCCCCAGAGGTGACCCACATCTCACCCACTGCTCCCCTCAGCAGTGTACTTTGTTGATCTGTCTGTTCTGCTCCCCACTCTGTCTCTGGTGAATCCTCTCACCACCCCTGCACTATACTCCAGTTCTCTATGTATAAATAAATAAATCTTAAAAAATATATAAATTATTCTCTTTACTTTTACTGGATTTTTCTGAAAAAGTAAATACACTTTTTATTATTTCCAAGTAGCTTCATGTATGTTCTTAAATAGTTACATAAAACAAAAACCTACCTGTGAGAGGTGAGGGTGATCCAACTGGTGTTGATGGATTTGATGGAAAACTACTGCTGGTATGATCAGGAGAATAAATCTAACCACAAAACAAAAGACAAACATGTATTGATATGTGACAACAGCAAAAATATAAACATGTTTCCATGGAGTCATTTTTATAATGTAAGTACCTATCCCTAGACTCAGGATGAAAAAAATCCTAGAAAAAGTCATCAAAATAGTCAATTTTAGGACTATTCTATTATATGAAGGCAACAAAGCCTCAGTTTTAATTTAAACCAGGATAAAAAGTATTACATATACTCTAACATGAGAAAAATAAAATATATCTACTATTTAATTATCATAGTTGAATGTAATTTGTTTCTGTTAGAGAAGACCAATAAATTAACAAGTTTGATAAATAATCTTTCTACTCCATCCAACTAAGTGAAATCTGTTAAAAGTAATCACAGGAAACTATCAACTTAATTTTTCTGGAACAGTAGTTAAAAAGTGCTAAAGCCAGAAAAGAATAATATTTTTATTAATAGCTACCCCTTCTGATTTGCAAACTTGTTCAGTTTACTAAATTAAGCTCAAAATGATTTATGTTATGAAAAAATTAAACTTGCTCTCTTAGGTAAGAGACATAAAAGGGATCCAAACTGGGAAAGAAGTAAAAAGCTATCACGATTGGTAAACATGATAATATACACTGAAAACTCTAAAGACATCACTAAACAAACAAAACAATTAGAAACAATGAGTAAAGCGGTAGGCTACAAAATCAACATGCAAAATTTGGTTGCAGTCCTATATAAAAACAAAGAGAAGAGAAAGAAATCAAGAAAAACATCCTACTTACTATCACATAAAACACAATTAAATGTGGGCTTCCCTGGTGGCTCAAGGAATTATGTTTCAACTATGAAGCTATAAGCAGCCACTGTATCTCAAGTTTAACCCCAGCCAGGAAGCTGGCTTACATGGCACAGGAGACCTCTCCTGCTTCATCTGCTGCTCCCCTTAGCAGTATATATCTCAGTGGATCTGCCTGTTCTTCTCCCCACCCTGTCTCTGTTGAGTCCTCTCACCCCACATACACCTCAGTTCTTGTATGCATAAATTAATAAATCTTAAAAAAAAAAAGCCTCAGAAAGACTTATACAATGAAATCTATGACATTGTTGAATGAAAATAGAAAACACAAAGCAATGGGAAGGTATTTCCTGATCATGGATTGGAAGAATCAAGATTGTAAAAATGGTCATATGAGCCAAAGCAATAGACATATTCAGTATAATCCTTATCAAAGTTTTAATGGCATTTTTCAAAGAAAAACAGACCATTAATGAAATGTATCTATAACCACAATGGACCGAGAGTAGTCAAAGCCAGCCAGACAGAAACGAACAGGGGTATTACACCCCAGACTTCAAATTATATTAGCAAGTCATAGTAATAAAAAAAGTAAGGTATCGGAATAAAAACAAGACATACAGATCAGTGGAGTAGAACTGCAAGCCAGAAATACTTGTAAGGGCACTGAATATATGATAAAGGGGGCAAAGTACACATCAGAGAAAGTGTCTTCAACAAATTGTGTTGGGAAAACTGTCAGACAACTGGAAAAGAATGAAACTAGACCATTATTCCATATCATAAGTAAAAAATAACTTAAATGGATAGGTGACTCGAATGTGAGACCTGAAACCACAATACATAGAAGAAAACATACACAAAATATTCAAGACATTCAGATATCTTTTTGAGGATTCAACTCCAACAGTGAGCAAAACCAAAGAAAAAATAAACGATTGAGACATCTAACTAAAAAGCTTCTGCACACAAAAGAGGGTTTCAATAAAAGTAGGATACACTGTTGAATGAAGAAAATATTTGCATATCATCTATTTAACAAGGGGGCTAGTCTAAAATCAACATAAATCACACAATCAACAAAAAGAAAGCAAAACAATAAAAAGAGGGCAGAATAGCTAAACAGACATTTCTTCTTCAATGATAAACCAGCACAATAAAAAAGCTTCACCTCTCATCTTCAGGGAAATGAAAATTAAAGCCACAATGAAATTACTACACCTGTGAGAATGGCCCATAGCAAAAAGACCAGAAACAAGTCCTGGCGAGCATGTGGAGAAAAAGGAACCTTTGTACATGACTGGTGTGAATGTAAATGAGCCCACTTCCCATGGAAAACAGTATGGGGTTTTTCAAATTATTAAAAATATATTTGCCATATGATCCATTAATTCTACTCCAGGTGTCTACCTGAAGAATACACAAATACTAGGATATTCATTGCAGGAGTATTTACAATAGTTAAGCTACAGAAACAATCTAAGTAGCCAACAACATGTGAATGGGTTTAGTCGATGTGGTACACATACACAGTGGAATTCTCCACTATAAAATAAAAGATGAAATAGTGCCATTTGCAACAACATAGATGGAACTAGATTATGTTAAACATAACTGGACTATGCTAAGCAACAAGTTCAGAAAGAGAAAGACAAATGGTGCATGATTCACTCATAAGTGGAATATAGAAAAACAAGACAGGAATAGTGAAAATGCAAGATTCATTCAAGTTTCCTTAGCAATTCTAACATTTAAGATATTAGATATTTTATTTTTTAATTTTATGACAGAACTGTTATTTTATTTTAAAATTTAAAAAATATATTCATTACATCAACCTTCATTTTGTACAATGTATGTCTTCCCTGTGAAATTCCCACCACCAGCTCACCTGTGCACCATCAGAGTCCCCTGTGCTCTTCCCACCTCTGTCCTGGTCCTTCTGCCTCCTCCTCCCCTACAGAATGTCTCTCATCTATAGTTGTCTGATGATTTTGATTTTTACTTTATTATAGTTACTTTTTCTTTTCTGATTCCTTTTTTGTTTTCTCTACATTCCTCCTGTGAGACCATTCGATAAAAAATATTAGATATTTTAAAGATCCTTAATCTAAGTGCCTTAATCTAGGCCTACAAGGTATGTTTTAGAACAATCTTATAAGAGGCATAATATATTTTCTTCACATCTCGTGTTTAATTTAGGGCAGACACTCAAATTATGTGGGTAAACTATGTTCAAATTATTTAAAAAGAAAATCTACTGACTGGGGCAAAAAATCATCCAATAAAAATAACCTTGTTCTGAATAAGCTTAGAACTCCAATGAATTAAGAGGCCCAAATTACTGTATATAAATAATCTCTGCATTTGTTTTAAAGAAAGTATAATATACTGAAACAATATTAGGACAGGCTCTCACACAATTTTCTAAGTCATAATTAACAAACTTGTGACTTTCATTTTTTAAAAAAGGAGGTGAGTTTGATTTCTGGCCAGGGAGATAACCCGTATGGCATAGCAAAACCCTTCTGTCTCTCTCATTTGCTTCTTTGCAGTGTGTTTCAGTATATCTGCCTGTTCTGCTTCCCCCTCTGTTGCTGGCAAATCCTCTCACCCCCTGCACTTCTGCCCTATACCACAGTGTTGGATGCATGAACTAAATCTTTAAAAAAAAAAAAAAAAAAAGAAGTCATTTTGGTAAAGGAAAGCGATCAGATATATTTTAAAATATTTTATGGGAAGATTTAGTAATAGATCACATATTCTAAAATCAATATTGCCTAGTCTTAAAATTGTTACTTAAAGTTGTTACCTTTTTAAAAATTTAGGGGGCACATGAAAATTATAGCTATAGGTGACATTTTGGTTCCTACAGGTCAGCACATACAACTTGACTTATAGCAAGCATGTAAGTAAATAAGGTCACTTTCAACAAAGTATGTTTCAACATACCCCTCTAATTTTGTAAATCAAGATCCATAATTATACCTTTTATCAATAATTGATGCTAGTATATATGAAATATGTCAAGTATAATATTAGTAAGACAAGGAAGGGTTATTATCATTATCACAAACTAGAACAACTTTACTGATTTTTCTATGCTCTTCTCTACTAGGATTAATAGCATGAAAACACTGGAGAAATACTATTTCTTTTCTTTCCTACCTTTTTGCTTCTGTTTTCTCTGTAACACTCACATTGATCCCTAAGTTTGTTTACTTGTTTATTATCTGTCTCTTACCCTTTCCCCTAGTAAAATGTATGCTCAAAGGATTAATTACTGCCATAGCTTCAGATTTTACCACTGGTAAATTATGTATGTATTAACAGAATCATCACTGTTGAAAATTAGCATTTGAGTATTTCTTTCCAATCCTTGTATGTACATACTTGTTACAACTTGCCTTTACTCTTCTTGCTCTCAATTAGGTTTCTCTAGAGAGCCAGTCTATTTTCTTTTCTATTTATCTGTATTTTATCTATTTGATAATCCCATTTTTTAAATAAACTACCAAATATGCCATCATTCTTATGAATGACTCCTCAAATGGTATCGCTAGCCACATACTGATTGCTGGATTCCCTCACTTTGATATATATACTTTTAACTCAAGCTCATTATGTCCAAACCCAAACCTTGCATTACAGCCTCATGCTGTCTATCCTTCTAGTCTTTACTTTTCTGTCTTCTCTCCCTTGGTTAGCATCACCATTCTCATCAGCACCAAAACCATTCTCTCTTTCTTTACCATTTTCACCACAGACATTAATATCCACCATTCTTTAAAAATGTTTCTGGAACAGGTACCTATCATTATCATTGCCATACAACTACTTTAAAGTTTACAAAAACTTTTGGGTGGACTATTTAAGTCTTTTTATTTCCATTTACTCCCTGCTTCTTTCATCTCAAACATAAATGCCTGTGCTATTGTCCTAATCAGTTTTTAGCAGTCAAACCAAAGGGAGCACTTCCTGTTGCATACTAAATAAAAGAGAATGACAGTTGATGTCCTTTATAATTTGGTCATGAAAACATATTCCTACCTTTTAATCTACTGATAGCTTTTTGCACCTTACTATCTAAACAAAGTATTATTTATCACTTTCTGAGTATAGCTTATGCTTTCAAAATGCCTGTTTAACTGTTCTCCAAGGGAATGCTACATCACTATCAAAGTCTAGTTCAGAACTCACCTTCCTGTTTAGGTG